GGGTTGTAGAGGGTTTTGCGAGGTCGATTGGCATAGGTGGGGCCTTCTGAACTCAGGATGTTTCCACGACACCTGCATGTGTTTATTATGAAGCCAGGTCCCCATGAGCATTCATGATTGAGGCACTAACGGGTGAGGCCCAACCCTTTATATCATGATGATGGCCTATGAAGACCTACTTATGCACAAACCTGACAGGAGCCTTGGAGCTTGCGGGAGCCACCCTCAGCCCACACACCCAACACATTTCAACCCTGTAAATGTAAATCACAACCTTGCATTGCAACCCCCATGGATGTAGCGTGTATACTGGGCAGCAGACTAATCAAGCAAGCTTCATTAAAATTGAATGAAGAATTCGGGCTCCCAGTGCTTAATCAAAAGAAACTCCTGGAAACCCACCCCTAACGAACCCACATGAATCAGCAAAGGATATCTCCAGAAGTGGCTACTACAGGCTGCGCCTTCAAGGACGGCTGCAAGCACATGTCCACGTAACACTGGGCTTGGGCAACTGCAGTTGGCTGATCAGCTCCGCCAAGTATCATGACAATCTGAAGCTGGGTCTTGAAGGTTCCAGCCTCATCCCTTCGCTTGATGAACTTGTTCACAGTAGATCGGGATGTGTGAATGAAATCGAAAGACTTCTCACACATCCAGGCACGCCTGAACTGCTGCTTCAGCGAATCAGTCAAGATAGCGTAGCTAGCCTTCAAATCAGCATTCTGCTTGAATGCCCTGTTCATGGCCTGTGCTCCTGCGCCTCGCGCAGAAACATCCATGTTGCATGTTGCCCAGTAGTAGACCCCCTCCTTGGAAGCGGCAATTTCCTTTTCGGTCACCCTTGCCACATCTACACCATGGTGGTCCGCAAAGTTCTTAAGGGCAAGCTCCAAGAGTTTCCGGGAGAGCTTGGGCGCACGCGGTTCAGGAGCTTCAGATTCCACTGATTCCTCTGGCTTGCCCTGGTCAGTGGGCTTCTGCGGCTCTGTCGGGCCGCTTGGCTGACCAGAAGTTGCCAGCTCACCTGTGGACCCTGGCATGACTAGAGTCTCTGCGTTAGCAAGATCCTGGCTTGCCTGCTCATACACCATCGTAGGAGCACTATCAAGAGACATCCTACCCAGCTGAAACCCTGAAGCGCAAAGCCTTGGCTAAAGCAGCTTCGCAAAACTGAGATCTCGAGTGGCGCCGAACAATCAGATCACTTCTGTCGAAGGCATGGTTCTGAGGGTTGACCATAGGTTGCGTAATGCTCAGTTCTGGCATTGCACATTCTCTCCATCATAGTACAATATTTAATTGGTTCTTGATCTACAATAAATAACGGTAAGGATTCCTCCTCAAGAATGCCCAGGGCCCACACTGAAAAACAAGCAGGATCTAGTTAATAGATTGCAAAAGATCCAGAGTTTTCTGTTCTCGCAAACAGATGACGAAAACAGGTTCTACTTTAGGATCCATTCTAATTATTTTCGCAAGAAGAAGAGCGACTGGTGGTTAAAACATGTCTCGGGAGGTGGAAAAAACTACTGAAACATACTCATCGGTACTCATCGCTATGCTCATCGGGTTCTACTTTTGATACTCATTGTTTTGTTTCCTTTCTAAATCATTGTATACCGCGGCACACACACCTAAGGGCTCATCGGGGGGGCTCATCGGGGATCTACTTTTGATACTCATCGAGTAGCTGTCCTTTTAAAAAGAGCTCTAGATCATGTATTGCTTAGCGAAGTATGAAATCAGCTCGTAGTCTGCCGATTAGAAGAATTCGGACATTTGTCATGAAAGCAGACACAGATTGCTTATCCGTCGGGTTTTTTCTAACGGTACTGAGAACTCAGCAGCTCTGGTACCGCTGCAAGCTCAAACGAAAAGGCCAAAAGTGGAACCCCCTCTGACAGGCGTGGGTATTCAATCTTTCTCATTGTAAGGTATACTATCAGTTATTCATAGTATAATGGTATTGGCGAGAATCGAATCCATACAGGTCTCTCAGTACACAGATTGTGGTTGTGTGGCATAACCAGAAAGCGCCCCTTATTCTAATCGGACTTAGATGAGGATATCCCGATATCCCCCCTATTTATATGCGCCAGCTAGAACCAAGCCCTCTATTCCCTTATAGACATAGCGTTATACAATGGACTTTGCGGGAATCCCATAGAACACCCTTGTCCCCAACCCTCCTACTTAAATCTTCAGATAAAGCCTATACCATACCAGCCCCATCCCCGGACCCTCGGCGTGTCTAGATCAAAAAGTGGAGCATCCACTGAGAGGTAAATCTATCTTTGCTTCTGCTAAGACATACAATCTATACAAAGAACCTCAAACTGACAGGAGTCACCGCAGTACTTTCTAAAGCCTTTGTACCATGGTCTTGGAGAACTCTATCGTTACCCAGCCCCCCTGTCAAGGGCCCTGAACTACAGCTTTTGTTCTGCTATTACATGGCGCCTACCATCTATAGCTTGTCCCATAATAATCCATGTTTGTATGCCCCATCAAGCAAACCTTATATTAGCCCACAATGACAAGAGAGGCCAACACTTGCCCAACCCACTTTGTAGGGGATAGTCCCACAGCACGCGTTGCATACAGGAAGCAGAAGAAAATCTCTGCGCGGGATGTGTGACGTGGCTCACTAGGATGGTTTGGGTTTCTAGCTGTACAGTAGAACACTTCAAAGGCTGAGACAACAATTCCAAAGTCCTGGGCTTGTATTTGGTCATTTCCGGTTTTGGGATCCTTATAAACTGCCGGCAGAGCTGTTAGAATTTTCTTCAGCAGAGCACCTGCATTTATTGGGGTTGACTGCCTAATGTGTACAGGACACAGAACAGAAGCAACACTATCC